CACTCTTTACATTCTCTGACTACCATAAGAAATGAATTATGCAGCCTCAGTATATTTGATACCATATACATTATAGGCTATGTGTAGAATAATGTAGGAAGTGTCTATAAAAATCAAGATGATTTAATTGCTAATACGTTCATCAGAATAAGATGACCAAATTACTTTTGTGACTCAGAGCAGAATGAGACATTTTTAAGTAGTGTGTGGATCAGCCAGTGAGACATGAATTCCCATTGTTAGACAGTCAAATGCAGCAGGGGATTGCAGGAGCTCAAGCCAAGGATTAAATTTGTCACAGTAAAATTGTACTACTAGTGTTAATTTAAAGGCACGAGCAGAATACTTAGCAAGTGAGAGGCATAACTGCGTTGTTAAACGTGAATTTCCCTGCTGGAGACATTAGCACAGAGCCCTCGCTTTATTAAGCGTAACCCATTTCCATGGAAGAGGTAAAATGTATGCCTCACTAACACAAAAGTCTTGATTCGCCCAAGGCCAACCTCCTCTCCGACTATTTGTTTCTACTCTTTCTCCTCTCTCGCATGCTTCAGCTCACTCTGCTTTCTTCCACTCTGGCATTCAGTTTAATAAGTTAGCATGAATAGCTGAGTATAATGCCTGAGACCTGCTAGCAGGTTATAAATGTAGCCTTAATGGCTCAACCATTATAACATTTGGTATAGACTCTGCCATGGTGAATGTGGCACTGCAAGAAAATGGACGCAGTAGAGGGCAGGAGGCTGGGGGATGAAGAGTTCCCTTTCCATTAGCTGATTGGAACCAAGTCCTGCGGGCCAGGGATTGTTTGCCTCACATCAAACACAACATAGATGTAAACACCTCTGTTAGTGGGTTCAGGAAAATGTCATATGAAAGCATTGTCCCATCAACAAGACTATTACACCATCCAGCAATAAGACCAAGGAAGTCTGCTAATAGAGGCGGTTGCTCTAGTACATTTCTCAATACTGGTGTTGTTTTGTCTCATCCACACCATGTTTTCCGTGAGCCGGAGTGAAGGCCTAATGGACCATGGCGTGCTGGAGTAGACAACACATCTCACATTAGGACCCTAGTGCAATGTAAGATTTAATAAATGATATATATATGCTTGTTCTGGCTCCATTGCAGAGAGTGGTGTGAGAAGTGGTAGGAAGATAAGAGGCTTTACGAACCATAAGTGTTCCTTGTCTTTGTAACCAGGTCAACGACAAAGATGTTTCCGCACAGAGGGTTTGGGAAGACATGTGGGTATGGAGGTTGTGGTGCATAGTTAAGAGCACAGTGTGATGCAGGCTTTTATCCAGGACCATCATGCATGTCTTGGACAGAGTCTGAGAGAAAGACATGTACTGGGAGAAAGACAGGCCTTAAAAAAAACTAAAAATTAACAGTTTCCTAATCTGCTGAGGAGGCATGATCTGAAGAAGAAACAAAGTCAGAAAGAGAAAACAAGTCTTGTTGGAGTGATGTGGGAAATGCAACCCACACATGCATCTTGATGAAGTCAAATGCAGATTTTAACTGAGAGAAGAGCTGTAAATATTAAAGGCGATTAAGGGAAATGCAAACATCATATGAAAATGTAATAGAAATATGCCATCCTCGACGTTATCAGTGTAACCTCCATTTGCCCTCATGTGTTTGCCTGCTAAATGTTTCAGCTGACACCGTAATTATGCACTTTGCGTGTGTTACCAGGAGTTTGACAAACCCCCGCTTGCCACAGGTTTTGTTGTGATTGCAGCTTTACCGGCATCTGCATTTCAAACACCTGCCACCTTTTAGTGATAACTAACCCCCACATGATCCCTGTCAATGGCACTGGCTGCACTGTCTCACAGCCTGAGACAGTGACTTAACACGGCACTCAGATACTATATTATTTAGTCTAATGATAGAGCTCATACACATATTATGATTCAGTTTTTTGAGCCCCTTAGATTCTCTAGGATTAGGGAAATAATTAGAGGATTGTAGCTGACAGGAGCTGGCTAACACATTGCTCTTTAGATAGAGTGTTAGCTACGGAGGTCAAATGTCATCAAGCCTGATTTTGATGCTAAATTTACTTGACGAATGTTACCGGAGAGCAGGCTTGCTGTTTGCGACCTAGAATCATATTCAGAGGAGAAGAAGCCCCGAATATGCCCATGCATTAATGAGCATGTACACTTGATATATTTAGGACATCTTGATGTTGAACTACAGCCCTTTTTACACAATCCACATCTCAGCTGCCTTAGACATTTAAAGTGTCTCTCTAATTTGTCTGCTTCTCTTTATGTCCATCCATGTCTGTGATTAGTGAAGATTTAATAAAGAAAATCAGTGTGGCGTGGTACATCAGTTCACCTCATCAGTGGATGCATTTTTTTTTTTACATTATATGCATATATATATAAGATGATGTTTATGTCCATACCAAACCTGCACTAAAAGGATGTTCTGAATTTTGAACTGTGTAGGCTACATATGACTCTGTAATTGGATGTCCATATAGATCTTTTTAAAACTAGTTTTCTGTCAGGTAGAAAATGTTGCAGCAATTAGCCAGAATTCATGCCTTGACCCAACATGGGAATGCATTTTGTTAATAAGGCTGTTTCAGTCCGATTTGACCTTCCATGATGGGTCAAGTATGCAGCACATGTAATCATTTGTAATACTTTCTAGAGGTGAGTTTTCAACTCAGTTACCCTGGGGACTGACAGGTGTTTCAAGCAAAGAGCTCCCGTAGAATAAGGTTTTAATCATTACTCAGACCGTGAACACATGGTTATATTTGATCAGGACCGGCCATAAGGTTGGCGTTGAAAAGATGTGCATGGTTCCTGTGGGGATAACTAATTAAGTGATAGTCTCTCATTATGTCTGTTCTCCTGCTGAATATAGTCGGGCAGTGGCCCCTACGGGCTACCATCTGTAAAACAAAGCTGATGCTGCTCTGCAAAGCCATACTGTATTTTGCTGTTGTTGTAAGGGCTGAGAAGTCAGACTCCCTTTTTTTTTGCGCTGCGCCACAGAATATAAATGAGTTTCCGTAAACTGCGCTGCAAATAATGAGTGACTCAGGGAGACATGCTGCAGGTCATGTGTGAAGACACCCATGCGCACGTACGCAGACACACGTGCCCAGGCGCATAATGACACAAACATACACACCAGTTTACAGACACAACAAGAAGGCACTCACGCACAGTTGACACGTCTAACCTACCTCCTCAATTTCACCCGCTACTGTTCTGGGAAACCCTCTCTCTGGCCACTCACCAATTATTTCGTCGTTTGAGTTGATTTTTTTAGCCCTTTAACTTTTGCCGGAGCAGTTGAGGAAATGCAGTCGGAGTTTTCCTCGGATCGTGGGATGTGAGCGTCGTTGTGTCTGCGGGTGACAGAGAGGGGGAAGGGGGGCGCTCTGCTCTGCTCAGTGCAGGGCGCAGGAGACAGTCGCTCTCCAAGGTGCTGAAAGTCGGAGCGCTCTCCCTCCTCCTCAGTCTCGCCTGCTGACGATGAATGCGACCTCTGCCGAAAACCGAAAATCAAACAATGATTGGCTTCAATCCCGTTTGGTTTGATTTTTTATACTCTAACTTATGCCCTTCTGGATTTTTATTTTTCATGCAACCGCTGGATGTATACACACACATATGCGCAACAAGACTGACTGCTGCTTTCTAATGTTCACCTGCTTCATTGGGAAATATTGAATTGACTCCGGATTCTCAGGGAACGCTATAGAGGATTTTTTTTTCTAGCTGTTTTTCTCGGTATCTCTCTCTCTCTCCCTCCGTACCGCATGCCTTCGGACGTGAACTGTGATATTGTCTCAAAAAGGTGAGTCCCGACGAGGATGATCATGAAGCAGACCTACTTTTATGAGGATATAATTTTCTTTCCACTGGAAAGGGGGAACCATACCTCCAAAAGGCTTGTGTTTAATTGCTTTTAAACCCATCATCACGACCGAGAGGGAGGATTATAGTGTCTTGTGGAGTCTGGTGAATTTACCCAGTGGATAAAGTGAAGTTTCCAATAGACTAGGCGGCTATCTTTAATCTGCTCTAGCCCTCTATGTGTTGGGCTCTCTGGCTTCACACTAAGTGGATATCAAGCAATTTCAACGCGGTGAGTTTGCCCTGACGTTTAATATGCATCCCTGTTGTCACTGGCATTTCAATTGATCCGTCAAGACGCGAATCACTTACAAACCAAACGATTCCAAGCGGAGGGGAAATATTTGTTTTTAGCTATTTGTTTCTTAACTGTCTGGTTTCTGTGGTCTTCTCCCTCCGAAGGAGAGGTGCATTTTGGGTTAAATCGTTGCGCATTTATGATTCGGGACATTTGCATGTTACATGGCTGATTTAGTAAGAACAGGTTACTGTAAGTCCAATGTTGTGTTGGAGCAGCAATTTGTATAATTATTGGCTTCAAGGGATTTTGAAACAGACTAATAGCTACCTGTTGTGTCTGGTCGCTCTGATGGAGTTTGAAATTGTGCAAATATAGCTCATAGGTTGGGTTTTCGTGAATGTGGAGAAGAATACTGCGAGGAGCCCACTCCACCCACTTCAGATAATGGATGTTTTAACCTTTTCCTCTGTTACTGGACGTTCAGCTGTCGTTGAGATTTTTGCAGGAAGAGAATCAGGAGAATCAACCCCCCCCCCCCCGCGCCGCCCCCCCCCAACACACACACACACAAGCGCAGAGTAAAATGCAGTTATCCCTCCTCAGGGAGGGATAACTGCATTAGCCTGTTGAGTAAGCTGCATTGGGGTGTCCCATTTGTCTCTGGAGATAGAACGCTAAAGAAACTCGCATCATCCTTATAACGACAACTGGTTGCAGCATTAGGACAAAATTACAGGCCCAAGGAAAGAAAGAAAAAAAGAAAAGTATTTGTTTACTGGTTTATGATGATGTGCAAAACAGCAGCAGTGAATCATCACCCATCAAATCATCTCTTATTTTTTCCACTGCAGCCAATTTCCTCAAGTGATGATGATGATGATGATAATGAAGCACAGGACGGATCCGGAGAGGATACCAGGAGCCTAGGGATGACATCCACACAATCTTGTTGAATGTGGATATCGATGGTACGGCGAAGGATGGGCCCTCTGCTCTCGGCCGCCTTCATCCTCCTGCTGGCCCTGAGCGCCGTGTCTCCGGCCTCGGTGGGTAACCCCGAGGATTACGCGGCGGACGAGGCGGAGCGGACCGCCAGCGAAAACATCGTCTTCGATGACTATCGGGGGAAAGGATGCGTGGATGACAGTGGCTTCGTCTACAAACTCGGGGAGCGCTTCTATCCGGGACACTCGAACTGTCCGTGCGTGTGCACGGAGGACGGGCCTGTGTGTGACCAGCCCGAGTGCCCCAAACTGCACCCCAAGTGCACCAAAGTGGAGCACAATGGGTGCTGCCCCGAGTGCAAGGAGGTTAAAAACTTTTGCGAGTACCGGGGGAAAACGTATAAAATACTGGAAGAATTCAAGGTAAGCTCTGTGTTCTAAGATCCAACTACAACATTTGTACATTGAAGCAATGCTTTCTTGTGTGTCAACTTACAGTACAAAAACCAAAGTCATTGCACCTAATGAAAGGTGCCTTCAACATTTCCAACATGCGCTACCTCACTCAATAGGAGGAGCATTTTTTAAAGATAGTGTGACCAGTCTAATTGCTGGCATTTTAGTTGTTGTTGGTTCCAATATAATGACAAAATAGTTTATACACTGTAAGATCACATTTAAACTGATGCTCATGAGTTGGTTCCATCTTGCCAGGTTGATTCAGTCAGTCACAGTCGGGATGTCTGGATGCCACTGTAGCAACCATCTTACATGGCAGTCTGGGCTATTCAGTCGTTTTCAGTTTCATATACAAAAATATAAACACCTCAAACTATATTTGCATGTCCATGGCAAGTGATCAATGTCACTCAGTTCAAACATGAAACAATATCTTATGTCATGATGGTGTCATTTTGGCAGTGGCCACTATCTCATGGGAACAGAGGCCAGTCTTAAGAAAAATTAAGCACAGTAGATCAAACATTTGTTTTTTTGGTCTTGCAAGTCGACTGCGATGATACTTGTTTAAAAATGAGCTCGACATACAGCTCAACAGCAACATTGGCCCCTGGTGATGGGTTGTTAGGGTTTGGGTTAGTGAGGCTAACATGTCGGTTCTTGGCATACTGTAAAAGTATCATAAACATGTGTTTATTGGCCAAAGGCACAAAGATGGCAAGTGATGTCACCCCCCCCCCATCAACTGAACATTCACCCAGCATTTACTAAACTGACAGATGCTGTAACAGTATTTTAATGCTTTGAGTGGACACTGAGTCATTGCTGGCAGATTCAGTTTCCCCATGTCCTGCAAAGGAAAGTAAAACACTTTTTACCCATCAAACCAGTGTTTCGGCGGTTGTTATAGAGCATGACAGTATTGCCTGATTTGAAATGACACTATGAGCATGACAACTACAGTCTGTATTTAAACTGTTGCTGCCCATGAGGAAACCTCCTCATTCAAATTCCTCACAAGAGGACTGGGGCTGTAAGTGATTGAAATATAATATGACACAATGCAGCCTAAACAACGCTATAGCTCTATGGTTAATCATATTCAAATATATCAGTGACCAGTTAAGATCATATGTCAGCCAAATGCTTTAGATCTCCAACAGAATACGTCATGGTGTTTTGGAGAGTATAAAGAGTATTCAGGACTGAAGTTAGGTTGGGGGCTCTTGCTTGCTTTTCCTATCTATTTGACACCTCCATTTATCCTTTTCTGGATTTAACAATTACATGTTATGACAAAATGTTAGAGGTAGAAACTACACCTGCATCCAGTGAGCCCAACATGATCACCAATTTCCTCTTGAGTTTTTACATTTTTATTAAAATTGTATGGTCTGTGTTTTTGCCTCATATTTATTCAGAAACTGATTTCTGTAGATAGACACCAAGTTTTTTCCCAGTTTAAAACACTGGACGCACTAACCAACAACAGCTCTGTGAGTAATGCGTTTTCACAATCAGGTTTTGAAATGATTTATGTTGATATGGCAGTGAATAGGAGCACTTCTCAATCATGTGCAGCCAACTTAAAATGATAGACACTCGAATTGCCAGTGGCAGATTAGCAACATGTTCTGCAGTAAACCACCCTAGGGAAACCAGATATGTGTAACCCCTAAAAAGAAACAATTTAAATAGATAGCCTATGTAATGCTACATCAATTCAGGAAACCTCCAATTTATAAACACCTACAACCATTTTAGAGCTTTGGTCAAACAGTTTGTATCAGAAATTTACAGAACGTTAACCTGAAAACAGACAAAATTAGTCAGCAATTACTTAACTATCTATGCTCTAAACCTTCTTTTGAGCTATTAAAGCATGGAAAGTCACATTTCCTGTTTCCAGCCTGAAGATACTTAAAGCTAAAAATATTGCAACTATTTACAATGGACACTGTTACAATATACTGTATGTGAGTAGCATTGTTTTATGGTATGGTTCTTTGAGCTAAAACCGTTTAGTTAAAACAGTATATTTATTATTTTCATTTTTGTTCACTTGGAGGCACTTGAGATGAACTGGATAAGAACATTGACAGTTAACCAAAACATTAAAGTTGTGGCCTGTAAAAACCAAAATAATTAGCTGAAAGATGCTAAAATGTTCCGTAGAGCTGAGGGGAACTGCAGAGTCTGCGACAGTTCTCTGTTGTTGTGTGATTTCAGTCAACCCTTTTCACACTGCACATAGTTATTTGACCTATTCAAAAATATTCACAGAATATTGATTTGTGCTGCTTTAAAGTTAGGGAAATGCAGGGGCGGATCTAGAGAACTGTTTATAGGGTGACAAGAGGGTGGCATGGAGACTTCAAGGCAAATATATGCTGATTTAATCACAAATAATCATATATCAATATTTACCTGGAAATGCCCCCAAATAAAGATATTTTAAAGGAACAGTGTGGAGGATTTTGGGGCGTCTAGCAGAGAAGTTGCAGCCTGCAACCAACTAAACACCACTAGCGTATGTATTTGATGACCTGGGAAAGAGAATGGGCTGTGTGTAGGAGAAACTACGGTGGCCACGAAACACACAAAACAAGCAACAGGCCCTATCTACAGCCAGTGTTTGGTTTGTCCGTTCTGTGCCACTGTAGAAACATGGCAGTTCAACCTGGCAGACTCAACAGAAGACGGCCCACAGCGTCTATAGATACAAGCAACTCATTATGAGGTAACGAAAACAACATTTCCAATATCCAGGTGATTATACACCAGTGAAAACAAACTTATATTATGTTCCATCTCTGCCAATAGATTCTCCTGAATGTTACACACTGGACCTTTAACTCAAAAGCATTGTCTACTTCTCTTTCGCCATGCACGGTCTCAGTAGAATGTTTTGATATTTGTACTGTGTTTGTTTCAGTTTGTCTTCATAATGACATTAAGGCAAAGCAAAGAAACCTCTGCTGGCAGATGTTGGGACCATGTTGCACCTGTGAATATTAGCATGTCATGTCACTGAATCAAATTGAAGCAGGCAGGGAGCTGCACAGTGAGTTAAGCCAAATAAAATGTAAACAAGCATCATTATTAACCATTCAGCTCATCATTTATCTTTGGAATTGCAATTTTCAAAAATCAGGCAAAGCCGAAGTAACCAGACGGAAACGTAAAACCTTTCTTAGGTTCTTTTCATCTGCACTGGCATATTTCTCACATTCTGCTAGATGAGCTGCAAGTCATAGCATTGGGGTTTTCCACTGTTAAGAATGATTTTTATGCCTCCAGTAGGGGGCCATTATGCTAGTGCTGAAAAAATTAGCTGATTAACTGATGAGTCAGTTCACATAAAAATTTATCAACAGCTATTTAGATATGCAATTAATCATTTATTTAGGGCATTCATCAAATAAAAATGTCAATTATTGCTGGTTCCAACAAGATGAATTTATGCTTTTCTGTGTTTTACATTATTGTCTTTGGGATTTAAAGTGTTAATTGGACAAAACAAGCAATTCGAAGATGTAAGCCGAATTAAAAAAAAAAAATTATTTTACAATTTTATATTAAATGATTATTTGATTTATCAAAAATTATAAAAATCAAGAAAATGATAATAAAAATATAAAATCTTACACATTATGCATAGTGACTGTTGCTGTTAATAAAGGTGCGTGAGATCAGCTCATTTAAAAAATATGTAGTTCATCTATACTGATCGGTGTGTTTGCACATCAGACAGCGTCAAGCTCAGTCCTGCATTGGGATGCAAGCCCACAGATTATGTAGGCCATTGTGAGTGTATAAGCTTTGCAGTTTGATGTGAGATCAAGTCCATCAATAGTGCAGCTCACCCTCCTGCTAACCTTGACTGGAGAGCGAGAGAGAGAGGGAAGGACATTTCTTGGTGCTTGAGGGAGGAAAAAACGAATTCATTTGTTCTTATTGATTATCTCAGTGAAAATGACATAACAGAAATAAGGAGAATGGTGCAAGATAATCCCCTCTCTTGTCTAATACCACACAAGTAACTCTAATGTCTTAGTCGACATCCTGTATGAAGGTTTCGTCTCTTCAGTGAGGACATGAAAGCTTTTGAGACCCTGCTGAGTTCAAGAAAATCAAAGGTCGTCAGTATCTGGTATACAGACCCCTGTTTAGAGATACAGACAGGTTAACCTTTGGTGTGGGCCTCATTGGCATTTCCTTTGTGGCGATTGTGCTACATTGTGCAGACGTTTGCATTTATATTCGGTTAAAGATGATGGAGAAAAATGCAGGGATACAGCACCTCCTGATTACGGAGAGATGTGGTCATTTTAGAGCTTATGGGTTGCTCCGATGTCTAAGATCTGTCTAGATATACATAGTTTAGCATCAGCCAACACCTGAATAATTTTGCAGTTTCATTATGCTGAAAATCCCATCATGCAATAGGTCAGTCATTGTCATGCAAATGAATCTAATGCTGGTATAACTCATGCATCAGCAACCTGACAAATAAGTCTAAAGTACACTTCCCAGTACCAACACGTCCATTTAAATATTTACTTAGAGCAACATAGGATTTAATACAATGTAGAGTTTGCAGGTGTAGATTTACTACCAGTGGGTGTATTTTCTACTCTTTTGTTTTCTTGCCCTGTGAGAGAGTCATGCCACTCAACCTTAGTAGGTGTTTCACCTACAGGGTTCCCCATCAGATGAGGAAGGGACCAGTCCGCCCAGCATGGCTGCCGGCGTGCCTCTGGCTTCAGCACAGCTGCAATCAAGAACCAGGAGATATAGGGTGAGTTCAGATCCCAGATCGTCAGGCTAGGGCTGGGATGTGAACTCAAATGTGAACAATCCCGTCCGTGCTTCCTGCGATCCCCCTAGGGAAGGGATGCAGAGTTGAAAAAGGGGGAGGGCTCCAACATTTTCAGTGACAAGGATACACACAGTAGATTTCA